CGAGACAGGGTTTCTCTGTGTAGCCCTGGCTGTCTTGGAACTCACTCTGTAGACAAGGGCTAGCCTCGAACTCTCGAACTCAGAAATCCGCCTGCCTCTGCCTCCCAAGTGCTGGGATTAAAGGCGTGTGCCACCACCTCCTGGCTTGGCATATATTTTTAAACTGTATTTTTTACTACTTTGTGTGCATGACTTGTGTGAAGGGGCTCCAGCACTCCTGTAGACGTCAAAGGAGATCTCTGTAGAACGTGTTCTCTCCTTCCCCATCCCCGTGGGTTTCCAGGATTGAACTCGGACTTACTCAGCCAGCATCTTTACCACCTGAGCCACCTTGTCAGCCCTTTCTCTCTTTGAACCTGGAGCTCACCAATTCTGCTAGGCTAGTGGGCCAGAGAGCTCTAGAGACCTGCTTGTTCCTCCCTGGGAACTGTGAGCACCGGCCCTGGAGCCCAACTTTTTACTTGAATCCTGAGAATCCAAATTCGAGTGCTCACACTTACGTACAAGTATCTTACCCACTGAGTCATTTTCGGAACTCTCTTTTATTTTTGAAACAGGATCTCAAGTGGCCCCCGCTGACCTTGAACTTCTGATCCTCCTGCCTTCTCCTCCCAAGTATTGGGATCGTGGGTGTATAAGCCATAGCCCAGCTTCAAAGACAATTTAGAGGTTGGTACAGAAGCAGCCAGGTGGCTGACTAATGGATCCAGGTGCTTGTGGGTAGCATGCAAGCAAGCATCAGGCTCCTGGAGTGACGTAAGCTTTGAAGGGGAGGAGGAAGTACACGCAAAAGCCCTCTCTACAGACAGCAGTGATGACGCAGGTATCTCAGACAGCGCCACACCACTTTGGGGCTTCAGGGCAGGGGATACAGCTTAGCTGGCAGAGTGCTTGCCTGTAGTACAGGAAGCCCTGGCTTGTCGCCCTACACCTCATAAAGGCGTATGGTGGAGCAGAGCAGTCATCCCTGTGCTAAGAGGCAGGAGAATCCCAGGGGCTCTCTGGCCAACCTTCTAGACAGTTAGGGAACTCCAGAGTGGGAATTCACAAGTGTGAACAATAAAGAGAGATGCCTGACAGATATCTAACTCTAGCCTCCACAAAGGTACACACACACACACACACACACACACACACACACGGGGGTGGGGGGAGCTTCCTTCTCATGGTTAGAGAGTGTATCATATCCTATAGTAACAATATAATAAAATACTGACTACAAACGTAACTGTTATTTTATGCAGGCCTTTTTACTTAGCTAAGATTGTGCAGAGAGCCAGGCATATCGGTGTATGCCTTTAATCCCAACACTAGAGGTGCAGAGGCAAGTAGATCACTATGAGTTCAAGGACAGCTTGGTCTACATAGCAAGTTTCAAGACAGTCAGGGCTCCATAGTAAGGCTCTGTCTCAAAGTTAATAATGATTATGCCGAGAGACACAGAGAGCTGGGAGTGCGTGGTAGCACATGCCTGTAGTCTTTAGAAGCAGGGGGATCAAGAGGTTTAGGTCAGCCTTGTCTACATAAGATTTTTGTTTCAGGGGGAAAAAAAAACGCGAATAAGGCAGGCGGAGTTCTCAGCGCAAGCACACAGGAGAAACGCACTGTTGTCAAGGCTCCCTGGAAGGTCCCCAGGAGACAGCCCTAGATAACCAACCAGCACCCCCGCATTGTACACCCTCTTTCCCACGGCCCACAAGGCAGCCAGGGACACCAGAAGCAAGCTCAGCGGTTCTCAGGTGTGCGGCAGACTGGGCCCCAGCCCTGGCATTCAGCTCGGGATCTGCAGGAGATAAGCGGCCACTTCCCTCCGGCTCACTTTCCATCGGCACCACTCTTTTCAGTGAAAATTGGCTTTATTTTGTCTTGCTTAGAAAGGGGAGGCAGGGCAGGGCAGTGGGGGGAGGCAGGGCAGTGGGGGAGGGCAGTGTGGGGGAGGGGTAGCAGAAAATGGAAACAGGTGATAAGACGTAGGAGTCATTTCAAGGCTAGGCCCATAGTTATTATTTTCAAGAAGTATGAAAGATAAGACTTTTAACTTTTTCTCTCTGTCTCCCTCTCCTCTTGTTTCTTTTTTGAGAGAGATCTTGAGTTCACTAGGTAGTTAGGATAAACTCCAACTTCCAGCTCCTAACTGCTCGGATTAAGTATGTGCATCACCATGACCAGCTCTTTTTTGGCGGTTGTTTGTTTGGTTGGTTTTTTTTTTTTTTTTATATTGCCGGGGTGGGGGGTCTTACTCTGTAGCCCAAGCTGACTTGTAGTTAACTACATAGCCCAGGCTGGCCTGAAATCCATACTAATCTTCCACATCAGTCTCCCAAGTGTCTGGAATTACAGGTATGAGCTACCACACCCAACAAGAACCTCTTTTCCTAAACACTAAAGAATCGGCCGAGAGAGGAAAGGATGGCGCTCATAGGGTAGTAGTTACTAGAATGCTCGCCTAGCATACACAAAGCTCCACCTCCTCCACATGACAGAAAGCTGTCGCAGGGGTGCTCAGGGTCACCCTCAACTACTCATGAATGGTGGGGAGGGGGCGGGGCGGGGGCGGGGACTGGGTTGGGCATTAGAGACCACACTCACGAGCTCCGAACAAACCTGAGTTGACAGCTGAAGAAAGGAACAGAAAAATATTAATTTGTTCATAGAAAAACCCAAAGACAGCTTTTGGCCTAGCCTCGGATCAACTCTAGTCACTGTGCCACTTTGGCCAGCAGAGGGCTCTCTCTGCTAATCTTCAAGTTCCAAACTAACAAGCCAACAACACAAAAATCCCCGGCTTGTTCATTTTTATTATCCCCCACACGAAGCCTCTTCCAAAGCTAAAGTAATAAGTAGCAGGGGTTGGTAGCAAATTCTTCTGTCACAGCACTTGGGAGAAAGCCGAAACAAGAGGGTCAAAGCTGAAGATTGACTAACCTTGGTGACCCGTGAGACCTTGTCCCGGAATTAATAATGGTTAATAACTTTAAAACAACAACAACAAAAAAAAACCCCGGGCAGGGTGGTGGTGCACGCCTTTAATCCCAGCACTTGGGAGGCAGAGGCAGGCGGATTTCTGAGTTCGAGGCCAGCCTGATCTACAGAGTGAGTTCCAGGACAGCCAGGGCTGCACAGAGAAACCCTGTCTCGAAAAACCAAAAAAT